GTTAGTCGTCCAGTCCAGTATTTCTCTGTGGTCCATGTTGAACTGAGGCGTGTGGCGCAGTGGATTAATGGGCTGATCTTTGAATCAGAGGATAGCAAGTTTGAGTCCCACTGCATGTCGTTGTGTCCCTGGGCAAGACACTTCACCCCAAATTGCTCCTGTGGGGATTGCCCACAGTATTGAGTGTGAAAGTCGCTTTGGATAAAAGCGTCAACATGTAATGTTATGTAATAAAATTGAGTTCCTATATAAAGACTCAATTTTATATAGGCAACGTTCAAGTACAGCTGAATCCACACACAAGAAAAACAAGTGTGTATATATATATAGTACAAACAGTGAAGCTGCATTTTTTCACGCTGTTGTTTTAAATTGGCTGCTCTTTTCTTCTTTAATTTGTAAAGCTACGAGCTGCATTTTGAGTACATAGGTGCAATTAAAAACTGATAAAAAAAATCACTGCAAAAGTGTTAATGTTTTATTCTTAAAACCCCAGAAATATCAAGATAAAGTTCGATGCTCACAAGCCATCAACAAAGCAGAGTGGCATAAAGTCAGCCAACAGCAATATGACTGATGAGTCAGTCTGGGTTCTTCCACCTAAGTGTTGTTTTAGTAACTTGTTTTCTTTGCAATATTTGAGCTCTAAAACCAATACATATTTTTGGATTTTGATCAGTTTTCATTTTCTAACAAATGAATTCTCTGAATTAAAAACTTGGGAGAAATGTTGTCAATTAATAGTATAAACCTAATAAAAACAAGATAAACTGATAATATTGCAAATACAGCACATCTTTTTCTAGAGCTGTGTGTGTGTGTATATATATATATGCTCGTTTCTTTTTTAATCTTTGAGCTACATTTTGTCAATGAAAGGTGAAGTATAAATGAAAGATGATGTTATTGAAGCCGAAAGTCACCTGGGCGTCCTTGGGGCAGTTGAGCTGCTGCAGGGCCTCCTGGCAGCGAGCAGCAGCCTCCTGCAGCTCCCTGAACCACTTCAGGGTGCTCTCCTCAGCGCTGTTCTGCAGACCTGCACCACAACCACCATCTTTATTAGAATCATTCACTCTGGCCGTTTCTCAATGTCGAGTACACATGCTGCAGAGCCACTATTTCAAGTATACTACGTCATCGAGTGGCGCAGAATGCTGGGCATTTAACATGCAGTTAAACAGTCCTTCGGCGCCACTCGATGACGTAGTATACTTGAAATAGTGGCTCTGCAGCAGGTTTACTCTCCCCTGAAATTGAAGGTGTTTTAAAAAAAATAAAATAATCTAATCTATATCTACTGTCACTTTTCACATTAAATATGTGCTCTTTTATTAAATAAATTAAACGCTTTCATTTTAAGTTATGAGTTTAGTGTTTTTGACCCTAAGAAACTCTGATGCATTAATCAATAACAATAATCCACAGCTCCTCTCTCTGCTCCAAATATATATCCCAATGCCACCCCCCCCCCAGTAAACCTAGGGGAAGTCATACATTTAAATTCAATCTAATATTTAATATTCCATTCCTCACATACTTATGTATATATCGTATCCTGCTTTCTATTGAGATGTTTACATTTTGGAATGTTTATTTTTAGTCTTTTCATTTTTGCCCTGTCTTTTTACGCTGCTGCAACGCAAACATTTCCCAAATTGGGATCAATAGAATGCTTCTCATCTTATTGCCAGTGCGCTTATATCTGATTTGTCCGCACGCTGTGTATTATTTATTTGTTAGTTATATTTCTGTTCAATACTCCGGCAACTCCTGTATGCGTATTCCACGAGAATTGCGTGGCTCTATAGAGATAACCCCGACTCACCTTTCCTCTTCGCCTTCTCTTTGGCTGTCTCCACCGCCTTCTTCTGCGCTTCCTGCTGCGCCTGCAGCTCCACCTGCTTCCTGCCCTGCTCTTCTTCATCATGCTCCTTCTTCTTCTTCTTCTCTTGAGCCTTGGCCACCTCCTCCTGCATCAGCCGGATCAGCGCCCTCATCTCGTGCAGCGCTCGCTCCGACATGGTCATGTCCTCCACGCTGGGAAACTCTCCCTGGAGACACACAGGAGAGAAGATATTCAGAGTGCATTCAGAGATTCTCAAAGCTGAGTAGGGTTTCATGTTGAACTGGGAAACCTTATAGAAGCTATACAAAAAATAACAATATATAAGATATTCAGAAAACACATTATCATCGAACTTCCAGATATTTTGTGGATTGTTTCATACAGTTTCCCAAGCGCCACGTTCAATACATTTGGAGAAGTTGAGATTTTCGATGCAGCTTTGCATCTGAGTAATGCTTGAATGGATACAAAGAGAGTTTAAGATATTTGACACATTTCTATGTTTTATATTTTATGGTAAAATAAAATAGCTGTTTGATGGGGTTGTCTTGTGCTGCCAGAAAAAGTGTGTTTTTTCCCTTTCCTGTTTGTGTGCATGTAAATGGTCTGCAAAATCTAAAATCCATGTGTTCCCTCCCGAGGGAGTTTCTCTCCCACACACTCCCCCCTGCCAGAAATGCCTCCATTGTACTCCGTTGTTTACTGCTTAAGAAAAATAAAGAGCTTTTTGAACATTAAAGCATGTTAACATGTCACAGTAGAGACACAACATACAAATAAGAACCTGCAAAGCAGCATAACATGTCCTCTTTGAAAACATATACACAACAAATAAGAAGTTACAAGTGAGTAGAATAGTTGAGGGAAGAAAACTGTGAAGGATGCTTTTGAGAATTTTGCTAATATTTTACTTTTATTTTCTCTTATGAATAAGTTGTTTCCAATCTTTCTGATGTTATTACATGACTTAGACTTAAGATGCTTTAACTCATGATTATTGAAATGATAAATGAAATATATGTAGTTGTAATAAACAACTTCTCCTTTAACAGAACAGTTATTAATCTTTCCTCCTTCTCAGTGTATGAAAGGACCCAATAATCCGGAGTAAAACTGACCTCTGCCGTCTTGCGCACCACCTCCGACAGCTGGGAGCACAGCTGGTTCCCGCGGGTGGAGAAGCAGCTGAGGCTGGCGGGGGGGAGGTCGCTCCTGGTCTGGGTGGAGGGCTCCAGCAGCTGGTTGAGCTGCAGGATCTCCTCCTGGATGGTGTTGAGGTTCCGCAGCCGCTCCCTGCCGTCGCTCTGCCGCAGCCGCTCATGCTCCGCCTCCCGCAGGCGCTGCTGCTCCGCCTCCCTCAGGCGCAGGTTGAGGATCTGAAGCAGAAGACAGAAGATGTGTTTGAACAAAACTGCTCACAGAGGTTGGGAGAATATTAACAATCTGAATGTGTCTAATGGCGCATTTCCACTACAGGGCCTCGCTTGGCCTCGCTCGGTATGGCTAGGCCTCGTTAGGCCATTACAGTTTAGTAGCTGGGGCAGTAACTATAGTAACGCAGTGTAGGCGGAGCCGTGATGTCATCTTCAATGAGAACCACAGAAAACCAACATCAGCCGTTAGCTGTTAGCACTCAGAGCTCACAGCTCCTCATATCTGTTCAGAAACTAGACAAAAGTTAAACAAGTACAAACCACATACTGTCTGTGTCATGGCGAATACAGTCGCTGGTTTATTTATGTCTGTAGGCCGTTGTTGTGAGTGTGGACGGTCGGAGCATATACAACGTTAGCTTAGCCGATCTCCATTCAGAAAACACGCATTTTAAAAGGTTTTTCGCCTGCCGTCTGTCTGCAGACTTGTCAAAGCATTAATTCATGGTTTTTACTAACCGGTATCAGTATGTTGTCACTTCGGCATCATTTAGAAACGTATATTACAATTAAATCACGGTCAACTATGTTCATCTTGTTGTAGTTGTAGCTCCCTTGCCAGCGATTCTCTCTAGTTTAGCATACTCAGCCCGGTTGTTGGCCCGGAAAGAAC